CCATGAGCTTGTTCATGCTATGGAGGTGGAGGCCACTTTCAACCTTGGCCCTGCTTGGGTGACCAAGAATGTTGCTACGACCATTGGAATGTTTCCCTTCTAGGGTTTACCAAATCGACCTACACACACGCACACGCACATGTCTCTCAAGCTGGCCCCACGTTTTCGGGGGCCTAAGGAAAAAATTATAAATGTGGTCGTATTAAGATTAAGTGTAATAGTATATATAATATTATGTAGTTATAAAAATAACTAAACATAATAAAAATTTGCTTTTACATCTTTTACAGTAAATTTAATTTTATTTAATGTTTAAGTTGTTCATTTGTTAAACCATTACTTGCACCTTTATTTTTATTTTGTTTATCCCTAACAACAATTCTAAAAACTTGTTTTTTTAGATTGAATTAATTTTTTATTTATATTTTTATTTTTGGCCTTTTTTATACCAAGATTCATATTTTCAAATAGATACGGATGATGCATAAAATAGGTTATGCACAATCAAATTGTTGAGTGTATGATGCAAGGCAAAAAATGAGGTAGTTGACAATAAGCGACAAAGATTGGGTGGTTAGGTCGAAGTGACCTAACCACTGAAGGCGGTGATGGTGGCTGAAGAACTTTATTAATGAGAGAACAAAGTAGCAGGTGAGAGAAAAAGTAAACGTAAACTCAAGGGATGGTATATGTTAGAGATAGCTATGTTCCCCTCATGTGTAGAGGGCTTATAATTTATATGCAAAAAGCCCTAGTTGAGGCGGTGGCATAAATGTCAGGCTACTAATCTCTCGGGGAGGATAACTACAATTAAGGATAGGCGTGATTCTCGAGTAGTAGTTATCCCGATGATTGCTCCTCTCGTGCGTTGACCTTTCTGGGTCTCTTGAATTTTGGACTGAGCTAAGGCCATAAGTTGGGTTTGACCTGTCTTTTAACTGATTTGAACTCACCCCATGAATTGGATTTGGGCCTAATTGAATTTGGGCTCATCAGATACAAACCTAATTGACAAAAATAGTATGACTTGACTACACAATGGTTGAGGAAAAAATTATAAGAAGTCATAGTAAAGAATATTTTGGTGATTAAGCAACCAATTGACACACCCCATTCTTCTTAATAACATATTTCGTTGGAAAGGACATGGAGATAGAGAGAGAGAAAGAGAACAGTTAAAGAACTTTTTGAGAAATGTCGAAAGAACAACCCTGCACAAAAATTTCTCCACCTAGTGAGCCATAAAAAGTAAACTTGTCCTAGTTGAGTGTGGATTAAAAGTAAGGGTGTTCATGGGTCGGACTGGATTAGGCTCACGAAATTTTTTTCAGATTAGGTTTGGGTAATGTAGGCTCAAGCCTTAACCCAAGTGAGTTATCGGCACAGGCTGGGCCAAGTTTTGGGTAGAGATAGGCTACCCGCAACCCAATCCGTGAGCCTTCTGAGCGGGCTTGCTTGTAGACTTTTTTATAAACAACTTCATTTAAAAAATATATATTTTTTTTTGTAACTTAATATTTGTGTAAATTATATTTTTAAATCAAAATTAAAATCAAAATGGATAAAAATAAAATAATTAATAATTTTATTTTTGATTAGAAGATGAACTACATCCAATAGAATGAACACATCTCAACTAAGTTGACAATTACTTTCTTATCTATCATTTTTATTACTCTACTTTTTAAAACTTGTATACTTAATATTTGCAAAAAATATATATATTATTTATAACATCTAAATTTTTAAAACTTCAAATTCGAACATTGGGAGACTTATTTCAAAATTTCAAATTTAATAGTTTAAAAATATAACTTTTTTTTCAAAGAAATGATGGCGAGCTGGGCTTGGCAAGAGAGCTCTTGGGTCGGGTTTTTTCGGGCGACTATTGGACCAGGCTTTGGGTCAGATAATGGGTTTGGAGGCAAACCTAAGTTCTATTTTTAAGAATATTCGACACGGGGCAGACCAACTATCGAGCTTATCAAGCTTTGTGCCTATTTTTTTCGAGCCAAATAACAGGACTCATGGGTAATCTAGCTTATGAACACCTCTAATTAAAAAAAATAAAAAATTGGAAGGGGTACACCGAATTGGAGTTAATTGTAAAAAAATATACTGAAAAAAATGTAGGATAAAAAAGTCCTTAATTTTGATATTTTTTTGTTTCTAAGTACATTATTTGAAATTTTCTTATTTAATTCTGACTTTTTTATCCTCGATCCATAAGGCTGTCAAAATTTGACACGATACGATTTAAGTGGGTTCGAGTGAGAGCTTAACGGGTTTGGGTGATAAACGGGTTGACACGCCAAACACGTTTAATAAACGGGTCGTGTTCGAGTGAGACCTATCAAATCGTTTATCACACGTTTACTCCTTTAAATAAAATTCATAGATTAATAAATTATTAATTATTTTAAAAAATTAACAATAAAAAAAGAAGTAAAGAAATCAATAAAAAAAAATAAGTAAAGTAGTAGTTCAAAGACAAAAGAGATGAGATAAGGAATACTTCAAAGACAAAGACAAGTCTTATTTGTCCCACATTGAAAAATGAGGGGAGATGGAGAAGGTTGAGTTGCCTATAAAAAGCAATAGCCTCTTACTTTTTTTTTTTAAGCCTTCAAGTCTTATTTGTCCCATATTGAAAAATGAGGAGAGATGGGGATGGTTGAGTTGCCTATAAAAAGCAATGACCTCTTACTTTTTTTTTTAAATCTTCTAGTCTTATTTGTCCCACATTGAAAAATGAGGGGAGACAGGGAGGGTTGAGTTGCCTATAAAAAATAATTGTCTCTTACTTTTTTTTTAGGCCTTCAAGTCTTATTTTTATAAGATTTGACTAAAAAATCTTCTTTTTTGAGGTAAGTGTAATTGGCAATAAAAAAAATTGAGTATTAAAATTTGTTAATATAATTTTTTTAAAATTAAACAGGTTAAACGAGTCGTATCATGTTACCCGTTTATTAATCGGGTCGTATTCGTGTTGAGATTTTTTATCCGTTTATTAAACGTGTTATATATATTTTTACCCATCACTCATTTAACCCGACACGTTTAACACCCCTATCGAATTTTAATATTACGTATTTTTATGTCCTCCCTTGATTCATGCATATTCTTTTTTTAGAAAATGATTTTGTTTTCAAATTATATTAATATCTGAACTCCATAACAATATAATAATAACAATGTAACAATAATAATGTAACAACAACAGTGTAACAAGACATTTACACAAAATATTTTTTTATTACATGTTGTCAAACATATATTTTTATATAATTTCATTCAAAACAGTCTATCTATGTTTTGAATTTGTTATCACGTGCACAAAATCACTTAATACTGTTTTTGTTACAGTGTATTGTTACACTATCTTTGTTACAGTATATTGTTACACTGTTTTTGTTACACTATTGCTTAATAAATTTTTTACATTTTTGTTGTTGTGTAAATAATTTTATATTTCATATTATATAAAAAAATAATTAATAAATATTAAAATTCAAACAAAGTGATATATCCTAAAATAAACGAAATATTAAAATTCTCTTATAAAATTAGAAGATATTTAATGCATAAGTATAATTTGAAAGCAAAATCACTTTCAAAAAAAAATACGCATAAATCAAGATGCATTAGAAATTTCGAATTAAATGACCCTAAATTTCAGCACTTAAGATAAATACTTTGTTACATTTTTAGGAAAGAAATTTTACAAAGTGAACATTTACGTCTTTATATCTCAGTTATGTATTTTTTTAAAAAATATTTTGTTCTGTGTATTTTTTTACAATTATATCTAATTTGATATACCGACTTCCAAAGAATCCTTAAGAGAATGTTTTTAGGGTCCATTTGTCTACATAGATGTTGCCTAAGTGAAAAGAAATTGGTCCTCATTAGACTGGGCTGAAAATTTTTCATAAAACGTTAAAATCTGAGGGTTCTAGACGAACACCTTACTTAAAAGAATGTGTCTATAAATAAGGAGAAGCCTTCAATCTCCCCGTTCTATTTTTCTATGTTTTTGGATTTTTTTTGTTTAGATAATCTTCTGTTGCTTTATGTTATTGATTTTTTAAAAATATTTTGTTGCTTCCAACAACCATTTTCTCTCCATACTTGAAATTTATCTTTTTCTGGGTGTAGCTATCGTTGAAACTGTGTTGTGATTTTTGTATTATTCCCAAATGTCTGGTCCCTTAATGTTGGCGTTTCAACATATTGATTGTGACAGATTACAAACGATTCTACGGTACATTAGGTTGTAAGTTTTTTCCTTTCTTCTGTAGTTTTTAGTATCCGACTTCTTTTAAGGAAGTCCATACGGACATTTTGCGATTAGTTAAGTATGAGGTTCTGGACATGCTCATCTGCTCAACAGATTACTCCACAACATTTTCTTTGTCTTCTATGTACTTCTGCATTTGTCTTCTATGACCCTACACAAATGACCATAAACATCTACCAATTTTCGAATAAAAAACAAGTGAGTGATTCTCACGCGACCCAAAGATTAAAGGTGAATAAGTAATTACCAACACGTGGAACATACATAAGCCTCAGAAATCATGTTGATCAAATTATTGTAGGAAAAAAAAAAAAGCCACGGCTCTGAATTATGACGTGTTGTGTCATTTTTTATTGTATTATGTTTTTGTCGATAAAAAATTATTTAATTTTATAACATCTTATATGATATTATCTAAAATAATTTAAAAAATTATAAAGTCTCTAATTTTATCTACATTATTCATTAATGGTATTGTTCATGTCTAATTTTATTTTGACTCATTTATCATTCTAATTAGTTAATAATACTATATTTAGATTTTATGTTACATTGAATTCGTGTCATGTGGCGTTGGTGTGGATGAATAAAATTGGCACAAGAGTCTCCCCTTTCCTCGATAATGATAACTCAAATCTACTCACTCAAATCACCTATATAACAAGTTAAATCCGCCTCCGCCTGCAGCAGAACAAGAAAAATGGAAGTAGCCAAGCAGAAAAAGCATTTTGTCTTGGTGCATGGTGCATGCCATGGAGCTTGGATCTGGTACAAGATCAAGCCCCGCCTCGAGTCCGCCGGGCATCAGGTCACAGCCCTCGACATGTCGGCCTCCGGCATCAACCCGAAGAAACTAGATGAACTACGTACCCTTTACGACTATACTCTGCCGTTGATTGAATTCATGGCCTCAGTTCCTCCGAACGAGAAGGTGATACTAGTTGGGCACAGCCTTGGTGGCTTGAACTTGGCTGTGGCCATGGACAAGTACCCTGAGAAGATCTCTGTTGCTGTCTTCCTCGCAGCCTTCATGCCTGATTCCACACACACCCCATCCTACGTTTTAGATCAGGTAGGTACCCTTCCTATTGAAGGCTCTTTAAGTTTTTCATTAAAATTTACGATCAATTTATTTTTGAATACCATATTGAAACTTTTTCTCCATACCAACCATGGTGTTATCCACTGAATATAAGCAAAGGAGTATGAAAACTATGTCACTTAAAAGTACCTTTAATTTGCATTTCCTGGTGTTATAAGCTGGTTATGGTTCAATGTTAATTTCTTGGTTAGTGTTTTTAATATTTTTCTTTGTCAAATGCATAGCTAGCCTAGACTTTCTCCAAAAATAGGAGCCTTTAAAATATCTAAAAATCTGATTTAATGATATGGCAAGAACATTGTCCAATAAAATTATTGTTAATATATCTGTTGAACTTCTGATCACTTAACACATTATTAGATCAACAAATTATGTCAAATTTTTAAGTAATAATAGCCTTACTCAAAGGATTCACCTAGTATCTTGGGCTTAAATTTCGAAATTAACAATGTTATTTGAACTTAATTTATTAATTTAATTTATTGATCTAATTCACTGTAATATTTGAATTTTTCATAAGTCTCATTAAACATTAAAACTTAATTTTAATCCAACAATTATAATATAATTATATCATTTTATCAATAAATTATATTAAATTTTTAAGTTTAAATAGGAAAGTGGTTGGTAATTTCAGCAGACAATTTCTTGTCTTTCCAGCGTCAAAATTGAATCCTTTCCCTAAAAAAGTATCTGGGGATCACTTTCCCAAAAATTATATGTGGGGACCGCTCATATATTTGAATCCTTTATTCTTCTCCTCGTTCTATTCCCAAATATGAGAGTGATCATGGTTTAGTACCATGAAATTTTGTTTTGGTCGGGTCTGAATAGTGTAAATCCAAGCCCTTATCCAAATGAGTTATTGGATGGGTTCAGCCGGGTTTTGGATAGAGATAGACTACCCGCAACCCAACCGACAAGCCTATTGGGAGGACTTGTGGGCGGATTTGCTGGGTGGGCCTGCTGGCGGATTTTTTGTATACAATTTTATTTAAAAATAATAAATATTTTTGTAATTTAATATTTGTGTAAATTATATTTTTGAATCAAAAATAGAGTCAAAATGGATAAAAATAAAATAATAAATAATTTTATTTTTAATTAGGGAATTAACTACATCCAATAGAATGAATACATCTCAATTAAATTAACATCTACTCACTTATCTATCATTTGCATTACTCTACCTTTTAAAACTTATATATTTAATACATGAGAAATAAAATAATACATTATTTGGATTTAAAATTTTGATCTCATTCGTTGATCTGACTCATTATGATTTTTGTAATGATTGTAAGCCTCAAACATTGGAATGTGCTCTTCATCTAATGGTTTCAATAAAATTTTATTATTAGATCAATAAATGAGGTCAATTTTTAAGTCTGAATTGCATTACTCGACAAAGAATGAATGAAGAAAGCTTGACATGCCGAGGAATATTACTCAGACATAAAATGCTAACTTATAACTATGGAATACAGTATTTATTAGGATCTATAATTTATTCAACGACTATGATTGATCAAATTAAGTTAATTTTTTAAGTTTAAATAATATTTTCCTTCGAAATGACATTCACTTTTTGTAATTTTTATTTTTCAATCTTGTAATTTTCAAGTATGTCGTCTTTGTTATTAAATTCTCTTCCCTCTCTTTTGCAAGTATTGCAAGTGGACCACTGCAGAAAGTTGGTTGGACACTCAGTTTCCACACTTTGGTAGTTCGGAAGAACCTATGAAATCAATGTTTTTTGGCCCCAAGTTCTTATCATCCAAGCTCTACCAACTTTGCCCCGTTGAAGTAAACCATCTCTCTCTCTCTCTCTCTCTCTCTCTCTCTCTCTCTCTCTCTCTGTTGGTATTGCATAGTTGCAACTGCCTAAATGATTCTTCTTGTTTTAGGATCTTACATTGGCGAAGACATTAGTAAGGCCTGGATCATTATTTCTGGAAGATTTGTCGAAGACAACTAAGTTTTCAACTGAGAGGTACGGATCAGTTAAGCGAGTTTACGTCATATGCAATGAGGATAAAGGGATACCAGAAGAATTCCAGCAATGGATGATTGATAACATTGGAGCAATGGAGGCGAAGGAAATCAAAGGCGCAGACCATATGGCAATGTGCTCAAAGCCAGCAGAACTTTGTCATTGTCTCCTAGAGATAGCAAACAAGTACGATTAGCGTTGAACCAACATCTCATCGAAAAGTTTAAACTAAAAGAGAGATGAAATAAAATAATGTATTTATCTAATAATTAGGTTCTCTTTCCATAGACTTGTTAGATGGGTTTGGACAATTGTCTCTACATTTGTTCAGTTTGTTTATCTGAATTCATTGTTCTTTTATCTTCTACATGACTGGTAACTCTACTCTACTTTGGGCAAGAAGGTTAAAATATTTTTTCAAATATCATTCTAAACGAGTGGTCTTCTTGTTTGATTTGGACTCTTATTTTATTGTCTTGTTTCACACCATTGAGAAAAAGTTATCAAGCCCATCATGGACTTTATGAAGAGTCCGACTTGTGATCAAATACAAGGCTCAATGGAGTTGATCTGTCCAGTATATCTAGCTGTTTGTCATTGACGTGACGACAAGGAAGAGTTTTCATCTTTGGAGATTTGGGGTTTGCTCTAATTTGTTGGGTCTTTTTCACAAAAACAATATTCTTTCGGGAATAATTTTTTGGGCACTATTAATATTGTAAGGGCGTGTTTGTTTCATAGGATAAAGAGGATAAGATGGGGGATTGACTTTTAAGTATCCTGGGGCCACATATCCCATATTACTATATTAGTGACATGCTCTTTTGCCTTTGTTCAGAAGAGCACTATGTAATTTTTAATTTTTGATTGTGAAATTTTGTCATTCTACTTTACCCATTGACGTAAGCTTGTGTTGAATCGAATCTCATAAATTTGTGTGTTATATTTTTTTATTTCATTTCATTTTTATTTGTTTGTGACTTTTGTTCATAACACCAATCGAGGCACACAAAGAAGGCAGGAAAAGTGTTATTCGCATTTTCTCATACTTCCAAAAAAAAAAAAAAGTGTTACCGTAATATAAAACAATTAAATTGGGTGAGAGGTGGTTTGAGAAGCTTTTTTTCTGATGTCTTATTTTCTTAGACAAAACTTGAGGCTCTCTTCAATTAGACGCTGACATGTGTCATTGGAAACTACTCACCAACTCTTTAATAACTAACCATTTTATTAAAAAAATTTAAAAAACAAAACACTTTTTATCACCCAAAAAATTTATATAATTATTTATTTAACTTCTCAAGTAATAAAATAAAGAAAAACACAAAAATATGAATTATAATCTCGTGCCTCGAATGGGGACGGACTACTAGTATGTATCTATATAATAAAGTAGAATGAAGTTTGAATCCAAAAGACAAACAAAGATCCAGATCGTTTTGAGATAAAACTTAAACACATCCAATGAATAATGTAATCTCAACATAAAAGATGGTTCAGATTATCTCAAAAAATTTGATCTAACGATCTACAGTTAGTTCTAAATTTCTTTTCTCGCTCGTGAAGAAGTGTCTCATCGTAAAACTCTACACTCTTATCTCTCATACGTCTCTATCTCTCTCATATAGACACTCTCTCATCAACCTATATTTAGCAATTCAAATCTTACTTTTCATCACAAGACTCTACGGTCTACACTCTTTTTATCCTTTATATGTTTCTTATCAATCTAAGTTTTTTTCTTAGTGTTTCTGTCTCTTAATATATCTCTTCTTTCTCTTATCCCAGTCTCCATTCTCTAATGTAAATGCAGCTTCTCTTTCCTCACCCTATCTCTCTTCTTTCTTATTTTCCATATCTTATAGTCGCTACCAGGGCCATCAATAGCAATCTGAACGAAGCTGCCACCGCTATCCTGCCACGATACTGCGATGCAACCACGCAGACACACGTATACACATATAGATGTTGTTACCTGAGAGAGCCACCATATCATTGGTGGAGAGGCCTTCTGCTTGGAACCTGTTGATGAGGTTGTTAAGGGTAGAAGTGGTAGGAGGAATTTGGCCACTATTGGCAGTAGAAAAACTAGCTGTTCTCGAATCCCTTCTTCCAAGTTTCACATCCCAACTAGGCCCTCCAAGTTGCAACCAAGACAACGTTATATATAGTCATGGATCAGAAGAGAAACAGCTGTTAGTTGAAGGTGACTGTCTATGACTTCATTGCATTTGTTCCGGGTAGAAATTTTGTTAAAATGTATCATTGTGCTATCAATAGTAAAAAAAATAACAAAATGTGTTGTTGTGCTATTAAGTATTTTGGATTGTAACTCACGAGGACAACAGAATCACGAGCGGAAAAAGCTACGACATCAGCGCATGACACCACACCAGGGCACACATTCTCCACCTTAGACTTGATTTGGTCAATCACATTTAGTCCCCTAATAAATAGAATTGTTGTTTGGACCAGCAGTTTGTTCCCCTCTAAAAGACGAAGTATCATCAAGGAGTATTGACCCATCGCACCCCTGTAATTCAGCAAAAGAAAACCCAGGTCACACGCAAGAACATCATTAAAAATTGAAGCCATGAGAACATGAAAGCCAGTTAATATCTGCTTATCTTTCATACAAATATGGGTTTGGCGTCAAGAGTATGAGTCGCAAAACAATCTCTCTATCCTGACCCCACAGTGGCGGCGAGAACTTTGTGAACTGGACTACCATTTCTTATATATATAAATGGAGATGAGTCTACGCTGCACTACACTATGTTACGAAGGGAGAGGAAGGAGGAAGGTATTCGACACAGTGTCCTACATTACTTCACAAGTAGTGATTTTTGACATCTCGGATAGACCCTCGACCTGGTTTAATTAATGTATGTGTTAATTAGCTACTGTTTTTGATGAAAGTAGATGTGTTTTGGTCTGGTTTTGCAGTGATGGAAATTATTCATCAACAGTCTATACAGCTATGCGTTATGGTACTTTTCGAGTATGATGATTCTGCTACATGATAGTTTAGAAAGAAAATTAATCACATTCAAGTTAAAGGGGAGGCTAGAGGAATTACTTAGACAAAGCAATCATGGAAGAAGAGACGGAGCAGAGAAGCACCCATTTTAAAACATTATCGTGGGAATATTCAAAACATTAGATTAACATAGTGGGAATATTCAAAACATTAGATATTCAAAACACATTATCGTGGGAATATTCAAAACATTAGTACATTAATTAAAGGATAGCTCAATAATGGAAAGGCAAAAAACACGTTTACGTGGAGTGAACCGTTTGAACATTTGAAGTGGCAGGTATTAAGTTGTCAACTGGTGGGCTTATTCAAATTTCTTTTATTCTGATTTGGTGAAGAATCCATGCAAGATTTGAGGTCAACTTGAAGATAAGTCATGACAACTTTCAATATTGAGTAATGCTATTACTACCGTAGGCTCCATCAATTTTATACTAACCGTAAACTCTATCAAATATTAGAATAAAAGTCTTTAACACTAAGAATTTTATTCCTTTATCCTTAAAGATTTGTCATTTGTCGGGATTTCAGCACTAAGAGTTTTGATATGAGGTTGGTACATGGATTATTCTCTATTTTGCATAGACAATGTCTTTTGGTTAGTTTCATGTGGTATTGGATTGAAAAAGTCACAATTGTAAGTTTCAATTCTATCAAATATTGGCTACATCAAATTTCTGGTTCTATTTGTCGGCATATTGAATATGTAAAGTTGGTGGCCTTTGTGGTAGTGAGTTATGTTTAACCATAACATGATTCTTGAGGTTGACAATGGTGATTGAAATTTTTTTGTAAAATATGGTCAATTCATTATATCCTTATGCCTTTAAAAAGCTATTTTTCAAGGACATTCATCTCTATCTTCATATTTTTGGATTATGATATATACAATGAGATATATAAGTTTTGTAGATAAATTGTGATTTTTTTGAGTTTTTATTTTAGCGGAAAGTCTAACGAGATTTATTGAAAAAATGGTTGGACTTGATTAATTTTAATTTCTTTAATTAAAGCAAATGACACAAAACTATTTTAAAATGGTAGGGTTTTAGATTGCAAAGTGTCTTTAGGCACGAGTTATTACTAGTATATCTATGTAATAAAGTAGAGCTAAGTTTGAATTTAAAGACAAAGAAAGGTCCATATCGTTTTAAGACAAAACATAAACACATACAATGGACAACGTAATTCCAACATAAAAAACAGTTTAGATGATCTCAAAAATTTTAATCTAACGTTTTATAGTGAGTAATAAATTTTATTTTTCCGTCCAACAACGTTTATTGACTCAGACGTATCATTTTAGGACTCTAAAGAGTTATCGTTCTAACGACGTATCTGCACCTCAACGTCTCTCCCTCACTATCACCGAAATATATCTCTACATGATTAAACGTCTGCCTCTCTCTCTCTCTCTCTCTTTCTCTCTCTCTCATAACTTCTCCCTACCATCGTCACTGCCAGCCATCGCTAGCCCACCACCAACTATGTTCACCGCCAGCCATTGTCATCACCAACACACCAGGTTTTGCTCATCCTCTCTATATCTATGTTCCTCTCATTCTGTGATTTTATTTCTCACTCTCACTCTCACTTCAACCCAGAAGCCGCCCCTCCCAAAAACCCCCTTTTGAAAACCCATCTATGTTCCTCTTCTTCTTCAATTTTCTTTCTCTCACTCTCACTCCAATCTAGAAACCTCCCCTCCCAAAAACCTCAACCCATTAACCCACCTCCCGAAAAACCATTTCTAATCCTTTGCGGTTGTATATTTTCATAGAAAAGGGTTATTTGGGTTAGGATTTTTTGGAGAAATCTTTGTTTGATTTGAGTGTATTTATTTTGTCTCTATCTCTCTTTCAATCTATGCCCATAATCTATTCGACAAAATGCCTTTTGCTTGATGAATGAACATTAGAAAAAGTGATGTCTTCTTTATAGAAGTTCACAGGCTCTATGGATGTAATGCACATTCTGGTGATTTTCGTTTAAGGATCTGATTTATATTACTTATGTGTAGGTACCTATATATGTTGAAACTCAACCTTTTCTAAAAAATACTCTTAAAGGTGATGTGGATGATCTAGAGGTGAATTTTATTGGGGCATCTTCAGCATAGTTGATTTCTTTATAAGTTTGTACTATATTGAATTTAA